CTCACTGGGGGAATGCTGTTCCACGAGATCAGTTGGAGCTGACCTCTCTCAGCCTTCCAGAGGATTAGGGTTCCACAACACCCACCAACCGAGGGGCCAATGTGCCTCCGGCCGAGGCTGTTGTGCCCCCCAGCTCCCTCCCTGCCACCTGAAACAAAGGCCAGACTGAAAACAGGAGGGTGGCCGTACCTGTCATCATCGCTGTCCGGGTGCGTTCCAACCGACAGCATGGACTTGGCCAGCGTCTGCATGGGCGAGACGAAGCGGAGAGAGCTGGCGGCACTGGGCTCGGAGGCACGGGTCTTTCTGGAAGGGCTACCATCCTGGGCAGAGGGGGCCGGCAAGACAGACATGGATCGAGGCTCAGAAAACTGGCAGGAGAGAGAGACAGAGAGAGAGAGACAGACAGAGAGAGAGAGCGAGAGGGTCACAGAGAGCGAGGGAGAGAGAGAGAGAGAGAGACAGGAGTCACTTCACAATGACTGCGCTGACAGGCTGCTCACAATTACGCACGAAGGTGAGGAAGCGGTCTTGGAAACTCTGGCTGAAGCACTGTGCTCCCTTCCCAGCACCGCACCTTAGGAAAGATGTTCAGACCTTTGGGTGAGGTGCAGAGGAAGGCGACTCGAATAAGACTCGGGACAAGGGACTTCCACCGACGTGGAAATAACTGGGATTGCTCTCCTCAGAGAGGGAGAAAGGTCAGGGGACATCTAGTACAGGCGTTCCAAAACCACAAGGGGTTTCAATGAGAGCAGACAAAGGGACACTTTACATCAGCGGTAGAGTCAGTAACCAGAGTGGGGCAGATGCAGGGGAGATCGATGCCAACGAAGCGGAGGATGCAAGAGCTTGTGTTCTGGAAGGCCACATGAAAGGTCACACCGATATATTTTAAAAGGAGGGTAGGGAAATGGAATTTGGGCCAATACTTTAGAGAGTCCCGCAGAGAGAAGAGAGGGCGGGATAACCCTTTCAAAAGAGCTGACACAGTCTGGACAGGGTGAATGGCCTCCTCCGGTGGCTCAGCCTTCTGCAATTTGGGAGGGAGAGATAGCACAGAGCAAATTCTCTGTAAGGGCCTGAGAAGGAGAGGGAAGACAGGGGACGGACCCTCTCAAATGGCCTCAGTACCAGCTCACTGGGGTTTTATTATAACACAGTACGCTGCTTCTTTCTATGGGCCTGGCTTCCCCCATTCCTGACAGGGCACTGAGAGCCCATTCAGCGCTGCTGCACAGTAACCTTTTGGCAGGAGACCAGTGTAAATATTTTGAATAGACACAAGGAGAGGCACGAGTGTGTTTTAACAGACTCCACAGCACTCATGGGGCTCATTCGGGAGGGACGCTGGGTCACCTGAAACAGTCCAGTCAAACACTCCACCAGAGCGGGCAGTCACGTGGTGGGTAAGAGGGGAGGGCTGGGAGACAGGAGAAGACTCCAAACATCGCCGGTCAGTGACCTTGGTGATTGGAGACCACAAAGCAAAGCCAAAGACCAGCACGGAGGGAGGAAATGTACACACTCAAGGAGCCTGACACCATCCGAATAAAGCAGTCCAGCTTGATCTGCACCCCTGCTCACCACCATAAACATCCAATCAGTAGCAGCAGTGCGTACCATCTACAAATCGTGCTACAGAGACTTGCCTGTGATCCTCAGACAGCACCTTCCAAACCCACAACCACTTCCATCTTAGAAAGACAAGGCCAGCAGGTACACGGGAACACTACCCCCTGCAATTTCCCCTCCGAGCCACTCACCACCCTGACTTGGAAATATATCGGCCGTTCAGTGTCACGGGGTCAAAAATCCTACAATTCCCTCCGAGGGTGTCCCTACAGCACACAGACTGCAGTGGGTAGCTCACCACCAACTTCGCAAGGGGGCAATTAGGGATGGGGTAATAAACGTAGAAGCAGGTTATTGCAGAGGCTGGAATCTCTACTGAAAACAAAAAACACTGGAAATCACAGCGGGTCAGGCAGAGTCCATGGAGAGAGGACAAGCCAACGTTTCAAGTCTCAATGACTCTTTAGAGCTGATGAGGAGTCATCTGTCCTGGATACGTTAGCTTGCTCGTTCTCTCACTCTCTCTCTCTCCATGGACTCTGCCTGACCCGATGTGATTTCTGGCACTTTTGGTTTTCAGTACAGGGTGATAAATATGGGGCCCAGCCAGTGACGCCCGCGCCCTGTACAATTTCCAACAGGAACCTGGCTCCCAGACCCACCTGCGGCCCCCCGCACTTGCCTTTCTCAGTCCCCCCTGGTCTCCCGAGGAGGGCTGCTTCACATTCGATGGTGGCTGCTCAGGCGGAGGTGAGGCCGTCTCTGCGGTGCCAGCCTTGGCTCCATGTGGCTGGTTGGCAGGGTGGGGCCTCGCTGCTACATCCCCCTTCTCCTGGGGTGTCATGCTCGCGTTGCCGCCTGTGCCGGGAGCCCCGTGGGGCTGGGGGGGTGAGGGTGAGGAGGAGGAGACGACGATGGCCCCAGGCGGAGAGTCCAGGCTCAGGGTCTTGGCCGCCTGCAGGAGCACGTGCAGGGTGTCGGTGGCTCGGGCCCTCGGAGCCTCAGCCAGGGGGGAGCCCTGGCTCTTGGGGGCGTGCGGCCTGGGCCAGAGCTGGCTCACTGCCCTGTGGGCGATCAGGGCGCCGAAATCCGGGTGCGAGTCCAGGGAGTTGACGTGACGGCCACCATCCAGCACCTTGGCCAGCCCGTGGCCGTCCAGCTCGCGGTCGTACAGGTCCACGCAGGTCCAGCGGCCCCGGCGGTACGGCTCACCCAGCCCATGATCCAGCTTCACCACCCGGAAGCGAGAGCTGCAGGGGCTGGGGGACGGCGGCGGGGGGGACTTGGTCCCGGGGAGTGCCCCCGCCGGCCCCGTATCCTTCGGCACCTCACCGGCCTCTCCGCCGGCAGCTGGCTGCCCTGCCATTGCTGGCGGCGGCTTAGTCCGATCGTCCTTGCCCGGCGGCTCAGTCTCGGTGGAGGGGCCAAAGCCTAGCCCTCCGTTGATCGCGGCCGGCCTCCCGGCCTCTGCCTCGCCGTTCAGTGGCTCCTTCAGCCCTTCCCCGCTGCCGCCGTCGTAGTCGGAGGTGACGCTGGTGATCTGGAAGCCACTCTTCTTCTTCCCGATCATTTCCGCGGTGGCTGCACGTGACCCTCAGCTCCTCGCCATCTCCAAACGGCAGAAAGACACACACACACACACACACACGCATGCACGCACGCACGCACTCTCTCTCTCTTTCCTCCCAAAGTGAAGGCAAACGGCGCAGGAAGGGCGAGAGAGAGAGAGAGAGAGGAGGTGAGGACACCCTCTCCCCTCGGGCGTTACCAAGCGCCGGTCTCACTGCCCACTGGCATCCTGTGAGCCGGCGGAATTCCTCCACATCTCTGCCGGAAGATGCAAGCCGATGGGGCCTTTAGCTGGCAATTGGCCGGGACCGAGGCACCATGAGAGCAGCTGATGGACTCCAGCGGAAATCTCCCTGGCTCGCAGCGGGTACAGCCAGAACTCTCCTCGGGTTTGATTTTTTTTAAAACAAAATCGACCTGCAGAGTCACAGAGAGAGAGAGTGTGAGAGAGAGAAGCAGGTGAGTTCCTTCAGACCCAACACACACAACCTGATCCATTCAAAAACAACAAGTACAGAAGGCCATTCCATCATCATGTCCGTACTGCCTCTAATTTGGCCTCCCCTCTATTCTTACTCCTCTTCTCCAGCCCAGAACAGTCTTCCTGCTCCAATCATTGACCAAAACTCCCTTTCAAAACTGCTATCAAATCTGCTTCCCGCAACTTTTCAGGCAACATACTGTATTTTGTAGCCTATGTACAAAATTTGTCCCCGGCTCCCCTCTGCTGTTCTCAACAATTCAAACCCAAGGAGTGGGGTTGAACGGAAGAAGGCCACTCATCTAGACATGATATCTGCTGGTTACCCAACCACCTGCCAGTGGACATACTTGTTCCCTCACTGGCAGCACCTTCAAGTTCAGGCTCACAATAGTGTAACCACGTCCATGAACAGCAGAGTGCCTCACAGTCAATTTACAATAAAAACAGCAGGGCTGGCAACAGCTTGGGGAGGTGGGGCACAGACACAGAGACTCAGGCGGAGGGGGAAAGCAGAGACAGATACACAGTTAATAGAATCATAGAATCCCTACAGTGTGGAAACAGGCCCTGCGGCCCAACAAGTCCACACCAACCCTTGGAGCATCCCACCCAGACCTATCCCCTATAACCCACACACCCCTGAACACTATGGGCAATTTAGCACGGCCAATCCACTTACCCTGCACATCTTTGGACTGTGGGAGGAAACCAGAGCACCCGGAGGAAACCCACGCAGACATGGGGAGAATGTGCAAACTCCTCACAGACAGTCGCCTGAGGGTGGAATCGAACCCGGGTCCCTGGCGCTGTGAGGCTGCAGTGCTAACCACTGAGCCACAGTTAATGCGCTGCTTGGTCTAATAAGCAGTGAGAGTACTCTTCCAAAGAAGTGTCATATTGAAGTCAGTACATCAAATCACTTTCATGCTTCCACAGATGCTGGTGGACCTGCTGAGTTTTTCCTGCACACACTTTTTTGTTTTGATTTCAGGTCTCCAGCAATCGCAAGGCCTTCGCATTTTGAAGTCATGCTTTGATGCCTGAAATGTGGCAGTCAGTTTTTACACAACAAGCTCCCACAAACAGCAATCAACTCGTCTTTTCCCTACAACTAACTGGCCACTACCACTTGACTGTCGGTGGGAGCCTGCAGTGCACAAAAGTACAAGCCCCTTTTCCTATTTGATCAGTACACTAAAAGTATATAAACAGCAGTGCTGCACTTTGCAACATGCTGAGGCGCTACATAAATCCAATTCTCTCCATAAGCGCCTCAATTTTGTGCAGCAGTACACGTTCTCCACCTCACCTCCTCAGCCCCAGGAACAGCAATCCCAAATTCATGGAAATTCCCGTTCTCATCTCTCAAATAGGAATTCAAAGGTTGCAACATTTCAATTTTTAGCTTTGACATTTCGGCTTTCAAAGATCTTCTTTTCCAAATTTAAATAATCATAAATTAGAAGCGATAATGAAGATGAACATAAAGTTGGACAGGATAAATTTGGATGAAATGTAAATGCCATCCATAAAACTGGAGAGATTTGGAAGCAATCGAATAAACTCGGGTGGAATTTCAGAATTGGTGCAGCACAGGAGGAGACTGCTCGGCCCATCGTGTCTACACCAGCCCCTGGAATAAGCAATTTACTTAACGACACTCTCCTGCCTTCTCCCTGTAACCCTGCATTTCCTCCTTTTCAGATAGGTGACTATCTCCCTTCTGAATGCCCCAACTGCACCAGCCTCCACCACATTCGCAGGCAGTGCATTCCAGACCCTAACCACTCGCACCAGCAAAGCTTTCTCTCACGTGGTTCTGACTTCCTTTGCTAAGTTTTTGTTTTAAACTCTCTGCCCTCTTGTCCTCGATTCCTTCACAAATAGGAGCTGTTTCCCCCTCTTTACTTGGTCCAGATCCCAGGCGGTTTTGAACACCTCTGACAAATTGTTTTGCAATGTTTTTGTCTCCACAGGAAACAATGCCAACTTTTCCAATTAAACTTCCCAACTGAAGAACAGCAAACCTTTTATTTTCTGGCACCTATGGAACCAGAGGTGGGCCCAGTTGTTTAAATATTCCGGATAATCAAGAGGTCGACATAATCATTGTAAAAACACACATTAAGTAACAGGAACGCAATGCAGGGGGCATATACATCACTGTTATACTTTATTTACCGCATGAATCACTGAAATAATAATGCAACTATGCCTTAAAGCTTACAGAGAGCCTTCTCACTCGCACCCTCAACTGACTATTTGGATATCGTGAAAATACAGTAAGCTTCCAGTATTTCAAGTATCTAACTTTTGCCAGTTTATCCAGAGTGTCAGTTCAGAAGATGCCGTTAAATACAATGTTTGCTGTGCCTCATCCTTGGAATTTTCTTGTAAAGCTTTCTTGCACCTTCTATCTGATGCCTTCACCATCTTTCCTAAAATGAGATGCTCAGAACTGGACACGGACACAACACCCCCTCTAGTTGAGGCCTGAACTCATTTCTTGCCCAAGCTTATAATCACCTTGCTCTTGCACTCTACACCCTTGTTAATAAAACCAAAGCTATTGTGCACTCATTGTGCTGCCTGTCCTGCAACAACTTAGGCACACAGAGACTCAGGCATCTCTGCTATTCCATGCTTAAAGTTACTTTTTGTTTATATTACCTCTCTATGTTCTTTCTACCAAAATGATTAATTACACAACAAGGTCATCAGTGACCTGACCCTTCGTTCCAGCAACCTATGCCCTCCTTAAGATCCACACCATCATTTCTCAAATCATCTGCAAATTTCAAAATTGTAGATATTTTCTAATCAAGCTGTTCAGAGATGGGATTACAGATGGGAGCAGCTGGAAGTTGAACACAGTCACCCTGGCCCAGAGGTAGGGGCACTATCACTGCTGCTCCAAGAGCTCCACCACATCCATTAATACATGTCAGGGGGGACGAGGGTCCCAACGCTGATCTCCTGGGAATTCCACCATGATTTTCCCCCAGACGGATAGTTAAATGCAATGGAACAAAGGTTAAGAGTGATACGGGCCAAACACAGGCAAACGGGGCTAATTCAGTTTAGGAAACCTGGTGGACATAGACGAGTTGGACTGAAGGGTCAGTTTCTGTGCTGCATGACTCTACATTTAGGAGACACTCGGCGGGCAAGGGGGATAGACTCGAGTGACGTTAGGGGGAAAGGGGGATAGACTCGAGTGACGTCAGGGGGAAAGGGGGATAGACTCG